CAGGGGGGGGTCCAGAAGGAAGGAGCTCAGCCTTGCCCGGCTTTACCTTGGCTTGCCTCAACCTTGGGGGTTGACGGCGCCATATCCCAAGTTGGACCCCACCTAGCTGCGCCGCCTCCTCCTCCGCCTCCTCCTCTGTTCATCCGGTCCGCCGGGGCCGCCGGCTACGTACGGCAATGGCGTGTCCCCGGCCCCGCTCAACCCCACAGCACCAGCACCCAACCCGGAAACCTCCCGCTCACCCCATCCCCGCTTCCACCTCCCTCCTCCCGCCCCCTAGCCCTGCGCACCCCTATGCACCAGGTGCAGGGAGTGCAGGTGTCTCAGTGCTAGGGCCGCATCCAGCAGTGTCAAATACACATCCTGGAGGGGGGTTGGGTTGGGTTGGGGGTCAGGTCGTTGGGAAGCTGAGTAGCCGGGCAGCTGGAGAGTGGGATCCAGGGTTTGCGAGGGCGATGTACGAACATGCGGTGCGGTGCGGTGAGGGTCCACCCTTGGAGGACACCCAGGAAGAGGAAGAGGGGCCAGGAAAGAGGTTGCAAGACCCCCGGGCGGCTGGCCATGAGTAAAGTTGCGGGTGGGAAAAACCAGAGCAGCTCTCTCTTGGGGCACACGTCCCCCCGTAGAGGACACGTCCGCATCCAGCAGCACCGTGCGCCCGGTACCGCCCAATACGCCCGTGTGCAGTTCGTAAGGCGCATACGCCTTAAACAACGACCAAACCCGTGCAAACGTGCATTCTTATACATACAGGCACACACATACAGGCGCACACACACGCAAAAGCGTGCACGCCTTCATGTCGTGGTTTAAGAGCATGCGGTGGTCGTGTTACGGTGCTTACCTTCATGTCGTACGGCATCATCCTGAAAACGTCGTCGTACTGCCGTTGTATGATCCGGGGGAAGGTCCGGGTGTAAAGCGCCGACGCGAGGGATCCCCGGTCGCACCACTCCACCAGCAACGCCGTACAGATGCTGTCACTCGGCTCTGTACGAGGTACGGCAGACGCACAGATGCAGACGAGTTCACCACATTCTCCCATCCCTTCCCGATAGCTAGGATAAGGCCCCTCCTACCCTGAAAGGTGGTGGACGGGACACGCCGTCGCATTACAACCCCCAAGCACACCGCACGTGGCAGCCTCCACCCCCACCCCCACCCCCCCCTCGTCTCTTCACTCTCAAAACCCCTTCCAGGTGCACCACCACGACCCACCCAGCTCGGCCTTGTCCTTGTCTTTGCCACCCTCGCCCTCGGCAACAGCTGGGTTCGCCACGGCTGCGGCTGCGGCGGGGTCGCCGACACCTGGCTCCGGTCGCTGCTCCTGCTGCTGTTGTTGGCTATACTTAACACCGTTGTTGCCGTTGGTGCAGTTACCGCCGTTGGTGCTAGTGTTGCTGTTGTTGGTGTAATTGTTGTTGGGTCTCGTTCCCTCCGGTACGGCCTCCAGGTAGAACTGGCGAGTGCCGTCCGGTGCCTTCCGCAGCTTGAGGACCACAGAGTTGAAGGTGGTGTACACCTAAGGCAAGGCAAGAGGGGATTCCTTGGAATCATATGTCGATGATGATGATGATGATATCGATGATGATGATGATGACGCTCGAAGCGATGAGGGAGGGTGGAGGGTCGAAAACTTGGTGGTTAAGAGGCGGGAAGGAGTAGGAGAGGTGGCGGAGGGCAAGGGGGAGCTGGGGTGGGGCTCATCACAGGTAAAGTGGGTGCATGCATGCATGTGGATGTTGTCGTGGTGGGACGCGCTGGGACCCCCCCCCCACTGCACCCCCCGGGCCCCACCTGCACGATATTGGGGTGCGACAGCATGGTTCCGCACCACAGTTCCATGGCATGTCGTAACATGGCCCTGCGGTTGCGGAGCATTATCCGCTCCCGCTCAGCAGTGCCATCCAGGCTGTGCCGAGCACCGCCCTCTGGCTGGGGCTGGGGCTGGGGCTGCTGCACACGCTGAACCGGGTGTGTGGGCTCTAGCTCAATGGGCACCTCCATGAGCTGAATCGTCCCACGCGGGAAGCAGCGGAGGAAAGGTGAGGCGGGGATGGCGGTAGGGCCCGGGGCGGGGCGGGGGGCGAAACCCTCAACGTCAGTGGACCAGATCGGGAAAGAGGGTTACTGGCCAGTAAGAAGGAGTTCAATCCGGCATATGGGGAGGCTGGTGTATTGTCCCTCTGGACACGGACATACACACCGACGAGCTAAACACGCAGAAATGGGCATCGATAAGTGTTGCCGGAAAGGACACGGGGCCCCCAAAATCCGAATCCGCTCGGCAACCCCTCCTTTCCTCCACCCCTCCTCCCTACCTTCTTCAATCCCATTCCCCTCCACCTACCGCCCCCTATAATCAATCCCGCACGGCCAGATGGCGCCACCCTACCCCACCGCCTGGCAGCTGGGCACGCATGGGGCCCTGGACGGCACCTGCCACCAGCCACCTGCCACCTGCCACCATAGCCAACCTGCCCAGGTCATTTCCGCACAACGCTTGTAGTTACCCCGCTGTCCCCTCCCTGCGGCCCCTTTCCCCCGTCCTCCTCCCGTTTCCCCCTTCCCTTCACCACATCCCAACCCCTCTGGCGGCGTCCCCTCCCAAGCTCCTTCCCACCCCTACCCCCTCGAGTCCCCCCTCGGCTCACCTTCACTGCCACATCCGTGGTTCCAGTCTTTCCCCGCAGAACAACCCCCCCTCCACCCCTACCCAGGACCTCCCCCAGCTGCAAGCGCGCAAGGTCGTCCTGGAATGCAGTCCTGGCGAGGGGTTCAGGTGGCAGGTGAGGCCCAGTTAAATGGCGAGGGCCCAGGGGCATAGGCAGGGTAAGGGAGCAGCTAAGAAGCGGCAGTAGGATTGACCGACGGAAGCAGGGACGTGAACAGGATAGGAAACAAGGTACGAAACAAGTATGAAAGAAGTACGAAAGAAACCAGGCAGGTTCCGGGCAAGCTGCAGGAGCTAAAGCCTTGAAGCTTTGGTGAGGAATATCGCATAGCAATAGCAATAGCAATAGCAATAGCAATAGCAATAGCAATAGCAATAGCAATAGCAATAGCAATAGCAATAGCAATAGCAATAGCAATAGCAATAGCAATAGCAATAGCAATAGCAATAGCAATAGCAATAGCAATAGCAATAGCAATAGCAATAGCAATAGCAATAGCAATAGCAATAGCAATAGCAATAGCAATAGCAATAGCAATAGCAATAGCAATAGCAATAGCAATAGCAATAGCAATAGCAATAGCAATAGCAATAGCAATAGCAATAGCAATAGCAATAGCAATAGCAATAGCAATAGCAATAGCAATAGCAATAGCAATAGCAATAGCAATAGCAATAGCAATAGCAATAGCAATAGCAATAGCAATAGCAATAGCAATAGCAATAGCAATAGCAATAGCAATAGCAATAGCAATAGCAATAGCAATAGCAATAGCAATAGCAATAGCAATAGCAATAGCAATAGCAATAGCAATAGCAATAGCAATAGCAATAGCAATAGCAATAGCAATAGCAATAGCTGTAAACTTGAGCTGCGGGCGTGAGCATGAGCGATGCGTAGGCAGGTAGGCTGCCTCACCCCGCCTGCCCCACACCTCGCACTCACCCCTGCCTCGCCACCAAAGTCGAATCCGCCCCCGTCGCCGTAATACTCGTCACCAGCATATCCATTTGCTGCCGCGCAGTCATCCGGGCATCCTCAGCTGTCACATGAAGAATTGAGTTGCAGTGCCACAGCAGCCCACCCCCGCCACCACCACCACCACCACCCCCGCCACCGCCACCGCGGCCCCCACCGCCGCCATCTGCAGGCCTATCCGCAGCCTGGCCGTTACCCTGCCCTCCCGGCGTCGACTCCATCAAGCTGTTCAACAAATCTTCAACAGTGCTCGTGGCAGTGCTGAGAAATGGGTCGGCAGCCACCGGTGCGGTGGCAGTGGCGCCGCCGCCGCCGCCGCCGCCAGCAGCAGCATCGGTGAGTTCCGGTGCTTGTGCCGCCGCCGCCGCCGTGACGGTCCCTGTGGCAGTGGCCATTGCCTTGCGGCTGTAGTGTGCTGACGGTACTCGGGGTGCGGGCTGTCCTGGCCTTGGCTCCAAGCCGGCGAAGGGCCGCGCGACCCGCTCCAGGGAGAGACTCACTCGGCCGTTGACACTCGCACGGCCGGTGGTGATGCTGTCGTCTGTGCCGTCCTTGGCGACCCCACGCAAGCTTCGGAGGCCTGGGAATGGGGGCCGGGGTGAGAGTGTGGGAAACAAAACTAGATCCAAACAAATGACAATGAAGTTCTAAGTATAAGGCGGGTGGGCAGAGGGTGGAATCCTCGTCCACTGTGGTTCAGCATTTCCCCCTAGAATGTGGGAGGAGGAAAGAGGGGTTTAGGATAAGATTCGTCCACTGCTCCTTCCATATCATGCAAGGAGCAATACATTAATTGCCGACTGACGTCCAAAGTTCAATAAAAACTGCTTAAGGAGCCCAACGCGATGGGGTAACGAAAAAAGAGGGGGCAGGAGGTTCCTGTTCGCAAACTGCTGCTTGCGAGGTTGAAGAACCAATGTAAAGCCGCACGTACCGACATCCACACCGGCATCCGCACCTTCGCTTCGCAAGCCATCCACTCACGCAACCTTACTTACTTTTGGCCAGAAATTGTGGAACTGCTACACGACCCGATGGCGGCGAAGGTGGAGGCTGCTGCTGTTGCTGCTGCGGCGTTCCCCCCGCCGCCGGCTGTAGCGGCTGCGTCAGCGTCACCAGCTCGTCCGTGTTGAGCAGCATGCCGTTGATGAAGCCGCTCAGCTGCCGCGCAGAGACTCGCGAGGGGGACGGAGCCGGGCCCTGAGCCCCCAGGGTCCCCGACGGGGCCAGCGCGGGTCCCAGGGCCGGCCCCGCAGTCGTGCAGCCCGAGAGCCCCTGCGCGGCGGACCGCCCGAACAGCGACAGCACGTGCGCACCGACGCCGCTATGAGGCGAGGCGGAGGGCGGACCACGGCGGCGCGTGGGTGTGGAAGCAGCAGCGGCAGCGGCAGTACCAGCTGCGCCTAGCGGTTGGGGCTGGGGTCCGTCGTCGTTTAGCTCCAGGCCGCGCATTACCGCGTAGGACCCAGGAGCTGCGCCCTTGAATACCTCCAGCTCGGGAGCCAGGTCGCCGCACATGCGTTGGGCAACAAGGCGGCAGAGGGCCTGAGGGAAAAGCCAAACAGGGACAAACAGGGCCTGAGGGAAACGGGGTCGGATACAAGCGGGCCACATGGCAAGGTGGGCGGCAGGCCAAGGCTCAAAGAACCACGTCCCCTCGCGAAATGTGGGATCGTCCTCCACACACTGCCTGCCTGCCACGCGCACATGCCAAGACATACCGACATACTCATGGCGAAAGCAGTAGACGTACAAATGTTCAAACGCTGGTCCGCTGGATATAAACGAAGACCTGAAGAGTATACAGCTTCAGTGAGGTGGTCAGGAACACACCTTCCCCTCCTCCTTG